CTCTTTGCGTTTCTCCCAAAGCAGAACAGGTCATTGCCCAGTGCCGTAACTCGGTCTGGTGCCGAGGCTCTGCTGTGACGTTGCTGAGGTTGAGTAAAGCAGTTGCTGCAAGTTGGGGTGATGGGTGCCCAGCAGAATTTTGGGTGCCGGAGCCTTTTGCATGGGCAATGACACGAGGGGAGCTTCACATCACCATCCATGAGACACTCTTGGAATGACCTGAGACCATTCTAGGAAGGAGACCTAGGAGAGCTCTGGAGGATGTTTAGCACCTCAGCCTTGGCCTACAGCCGTTTTGGTGGGGAAAGGACAGACGGGGCATCCGCATCCATCTCCACCTTCCCCCTTATCCTTGGGTTCTGTAACCACTTTTGGGAAGTTTACTGAAAATAAAGACCTGTGTAAAGCATCCTGAGCTGAAATACAGGCTGGAAGTCTACTGCGCTGCCCAGCCAATTAAACCTTTTTTTTTTTAAATGCTATCTTTTCTGGCCTCAGCTCTGCCCTGTTCTTTTCAGCATGCACAATTCATCCCTGTCTCCTTGTCCCTTCGCTTGCAGATCCTCGTAGCGTGGGAAAGACACAAGCTGCTGGGATCCGGCCCGGGGATTTATGCCGCTAATCTGATTAGTGTATGATGGACGTGTCCAGTTGGAAGGAGATGGAGGTGGCACTAGTCAGTTTTGACAACGCGGATCAGATCGTGGAGGACCCCTGTTATTCAAACGACCTCAGTCCCGCCGGGCAGTCGCGGAAAGGCCACGCCAGCTGCGCCAACCTCCTCTCCAACTGGAGGATCCTCATCAACAGCGAGAACGCCAACAATGAGACCATCTTCTCCCGGTTCTCCGCGGAGTTCAGCGAGCACCTGGTGGGGGAGCGGGTGGGCATGGACGAGGGGGATCAGCGCGTCATCATCAACATCGCTGGGCTGAGGTTCGAGACGCGGCTCAAGACGCTCAACCAGTTTCCTGAGACCTTGCTTGGGGACCCCGAGAAGAGGATGCGGTACTTTGACTCCATGAGGAATGAGTATTTTTTTGATAGGAACAGGCCCAGTTTTGATGGGATCCTGTACTATTACCAGTCCGGTGGGAAAATCCGGCGCCCAGCCAATGTCCCTATCGATGTCTTTGCTGATGAAATCACCTTCTACGAGCTGGGTGATGAAGCCATGGACCAGTTCAGGGAGGATGAAGGGTTTATTAAGGACCCTGAGACTCTCCTACCAACCAATGAATTTCATAGGCAATTCTGGCTGCTCTTCGAGTACCCTGAAAGCTCCAGTGCAGCCAGGGGTGTAGCTTTGGTCTCCGTCTTGGTCATCGTCATCTCCATCATCATCTTCTGCATGGAGACCCTGCCAGAGTTCAGGGAAGAAAGAGAGTTTAGGTCCCCCAATGAGTTTGCTAAGAATGCAACAGACACCTTGCTGACCCACAGCACCTTCACGGACCCTTTCTTCGTCATAGAGACTGCCTGCATTATCTGGTTTTCCTTCGAGCTTTTCGTCCGGTTCATTGTGTGCCCCAGCAAGACCGAGTTCTTCAGGAACATCATGAACATCATCGACATTGTGTCCATCATCCCCTACTTTGTGACACTCACCACCGAGCTGATCCAGCAGAGTGAACTCAACGGGCAGCAGAACATGTCCTTAGCCATCCTGCGGATCATCCGCTTGGTGCGGGTCTTCCGTATCTTCAAGCTCTCGCGGCACTCAAAGGGGCTGCAGATCCCGGGGCAGACCCTCAAGGCCAGCATGCGGGAGCTGGGCCTGCTCATCTTCTTCCTCTTCATCGGCGTCATCCTCTTCTCCAGCGCCATCTACTTTGCGGAAGTGGACGAGCCGCAGTCCCATTTCTCCAGCATCCCCGATGGCTTCTGGTGGGCCGTGGTGACGATGACAACCGTGGGCTACGGAGACATGTGCCCGACCACCTTGGGCGGGAAGATCGTGGGGACTCTGTGCGCCATTGCCGGCGTCTTGACCATCGCCCTGCCCGTGCCCGTCATCGTCTCGAACTTCAACTACTTCTACCACCGGGAGACGGAGAACGAGGAGAAGCAGATCCTGCCCGGGGAGGTGGAGCGGATGCTGGCGAGCGTGGGGACGGGAGCCGGCAGCGTGGAGTCGCTCAACAAGACCAACGGCGCCTACCCTCGCGACAAGGCCAAAAAATGACGCTCGTGGCTGCGATGGGACTGGGGGCTTTCGCGTGGGATTTGCCACCTGAGGTATCAAACATCTGCACGCTGATTTTTTTTTTTTAACCAAACGTGCTGCTTTTTTTTTTGGCTTTTTTTTTTTTTTGTAGACATTTTCAATCCCTGAATTCCTGTGGCTCTTCAAATAAACACCATCTTTCTTATCTCTCTTCCCTGCCCATCAGTCTGTTTTTTTATTATTTGATGCTCATCTGCTTGACATTTAGCTTCTCTGCTCGTGGCATCAGGGTGGATTTCCCCATGGAAGCAGAGATGCAGATTTCTCCTGCTTCCAGCTGGGGAAAAAAGGCTAAAATGATCTGCCCAGGGCCACTGACCTGCCCTGTGAGGTGAGGATGGGCCCAACTCCCCTCCTTCTGGAAGCCGAGGTTAGGATTTTGCTGGCAGATCTGATTAATCCATTAAATGTTTCCTCTCCACCTGCCCCTCCGGATCTGGAGCTCTGAGCAGTTCCCAGATACGGGACTTATCTGGCTAAATAAATAATAGTAATAAAAAAGACAGAAAATATATATATACCAAAGCGATTTGTGCAGCTGGGCGGGCAGTGCCTCGTGGGGCTAGGACGGGACGGATGGGGACCTGCCACGATGGTCACCATGGCCAGGACACGTGGCCTGATGCCCACAGGGATTTTCTGATGGAAGAGCTGAGCTCTGAGTGGGGAAAAGTGATTTATTCCCATCTCTCAGTTCTCGCTCTGCTCCTCTCATGTCAGCACGTTTTCCTCCGAAGGAAACATCTTGTTCCAGCCTCGCTCTTTCCGTTGGCTCCTTTTTTTTTTTGATGTTTCTGCTTGCATTAAGATCACAGTTTCTCATGCCGCGTCCACACATCTGCCTTTATAGCCCACATCTGTTATGTGCGATGTCTCGTCTCCTCCAGGTTTGACATTCTCATTACTCGACGTGCCAGCACATCTTGTTCACGTTGCCTTGCAATTTCATTCAGGAAGGGGGCTGTGAAAGATGGCTCTTTAATTAATTAATTAATTAATTATTTTCTTCCTGGTCTGATGGAAGGGCTGAGTTGGGATGAGCTGGGATTTGTTTTTTTTCCCAGCGGCAGAAATCCTGCTGCAAAGATCCCGCGGGAGAGGTTTAGGCTCCGGGATGAGCCCCCTCTCTCCTGCTCGCCTCCGGGTTCCACCACCCTCTTCCTCACGCCATTCCCAGCACCCTGCAGACCTCGTCCTGGGCATGAGGAGTCACAGGAGCCTTTAACCTCCTTCCCACCTTGCTCCAGTGTGGGAGAGATCCCTGCATCCCATCCCACTGAGGCACCCCCAACTCTGAGCCACTCACTGCCCACCACCTTCCTGCCACCTACACACTGATAATTTATTTATCTTTACTCTTTTCCTCCTATTTCCTGCAACTATTAAACTTTTTACGTTATTTTCATTTCATTTTTTTTTAATTTCTTTTTTATTCTTAGGACTCCCCGAGCTTCACTCCCCAGCTATCAGCGCTGAAGCACTTTTGGCTTTCGCCCCTTGGGAACTGGTCACGGGCCATGCAGGAGGGATGGGGTTGGGTTCAGCCTGCTTGGTATGGAAAAGCTCTGCAATTCCCCCTGCTCCCTTAGCAAAATAGGGCCTGGAATGAGGGGGACCGGGAGGGATGGAGGGATGGATGGATGGAGGGATGGATGGATGGATAGATGGATGGATGGATGGACGGATGGATGAAAGACCTGAATCTTATTAACTTGTAAGCTTTATTCTCAAATAAATGAAAATATGCTTCAATGCATGCAGAAAATTCTGTTTATTTGGGCCCAGCTTTTTGTGCTCGCGGCACAAGAGGGCACCAGGGAGGTGACACTCTGGTCTGGACACATCCCTGGCCATAACCCCAACCTGCACACATGTCCCCCCACTGGGATGAACCCTGTGTCCGATTTTATTCTCCTGTCACATGTCCGGTCTCAGAGTGCTAAAAAGGGGGAAAAGAGGAGCAAGAGCCCAAAACACCCCCGAAACAGGTGCTGAGCAAAGGAAGCTGCTGCTCGGTGGGGTTGGGGTTGGGTCGCAGCTTTCGGAGCATTTTCGGCTGGAAAACATCTGTGTGACATGAACTAAAGCAAAAAAACCCAAACTGCCCCTTTTCCATTTTTTGCAAACCTGGAGGAAAGCCAGAAATAGTTAATAAAACTGAGCCAGCCCCGCTTTGTTCTTCCTCAGAGGAAGAAGGTGACTTAAAACAAACAGAAACCCATAAAGCTGCATTTTTTTTTCTACACTGTTATGAAAAGAAAGGTGTTTTTTCCTCTAATTGTTCTCCCCTCCGGTTTGGTAGGGGACTCCTTGCTGTTTGCTAGGGACTAAGTGGTAGGTCGGCCTCTGTTATATTTTTAATAACCTTTCAAAGCAATAAAACGACTATGACAAAAAGCCCCACTTTTGCTGCATTAAAAATAAATACATAAATACATAAATAAGCAAAACCAAGCCATGTGCAATTCTTTATTGTTTTCACCCAATTCACAACATCTGGCTGAGATAGGGAGAGGAGAAAGGAGGAAGGGGAAAGGTTCAGCCACATCAATGGCACCAATTAAGTGATAATAATTAATAATAATAATTTGTATTAATGCTATCTATTGGGCACTGCAAAACTCTTCCCAGAGGGAGATCTTGGAGGGTGCATTTGGCATGAGTTTGGGGGGGCATTTTGCAAAGATTTGGGGGACTTTTGCAGAGATTTGGAGGAGTTTTGCAAAGTTTGGGGATGTTTTGCGAAGGTTTGGGGTGTTTTGCAAAGGTTTGCCTAGAAGTCGATGTTCTTGAAGTCGAGCGAGCAGCGGTAGCGGCCGTCGCCGAAGCGGGAGCAGGTGAGGTTGGGCGAGCAGGGGCAGCTGTGGTGCTGGCGCTTCCCGAAAAAAGGCACCTGTGGGAGGAGATGCGGAGAGATGGCAGCGTCAGGGCTCCGGTCCCAGAGCTGCAAAAACGAGATTTTTTTAAAAAAATTTCTTTTTACATTTTGCAAAGGGGAAAAATGAGCTTTTCCTGCTTGTACGTGCAGCCCTAGGGAGATGGGAGGGACCCAGCAGGGAAATTTTTCTTCTCTGTGCTCGGATGCAACCTAGGGAAATACCCTCACCATAGCACCATAAAACCTTGTGGGAAATCAACTTTTTCCATGAAGAACTTCCCATGGGATGCAGGTGGCCCTGGGCAGCAGGTGCTGCATGGCCAGGGCTGAGCTTAGGTCAGATTTATCCCGGGGAGTTGAAGAAGCAGCAGCTGGAAGGAATTTTCCGCACGTCCCTTTGGGCCAGCAAAGTGTCAGAAGCCACTTAAGCCTGGAAAATTTATCCCTGCTTCTGCACTGGGGAGAGATTTAAGGGAGATGGGGCTGGAATGAGCTCCTGATCCCTCCGAGCAGGATCGATGGCTGCGGCAGCACCGAATTCCTGGAGGAATTGGGAGAATAAATCACCAGTCGAGCTCTGTATCCTGGTGATGGATGCGCCAGCGGAGGGGTCTGGAGCAGGACTCCGGCAGGGAGCGTTTGGAGGCATCCGAAGCTGATGTGCTCCAGATGTCATTGCAATTTGGGAGCATTTGGTGCAATTTTGCTGGCACCGACAAGCACCCGCGCTGGCTCCGTTCGCATTTTCCTGCCGGCTTCAGCCATCCCATCCCGGCTCGCCCCAAGCCGGAGCATCCCGGCAGCTTTCCGGGTACCTTGTGGCTGGAGGGGTGGCACTCGTCGCCCGCGCGGCCCAGCGGGGTGCACATCCGCAGGCCCCGCAGCCAGAGGCTCACGGCGCAGCAGGTCCCGCTCCCGCACTGCGCGTCCCGCTCGCAGGCCTGCGGAGAGCCAGAGCAGCCGCAAAAATCCCTTTTCCAGCCCGTTTGCCTGATTCCACCCCCCCTGCACAACCTAGTGGCTGCGTTCGTTTCCCCCTTCCTTGCACAAAGTGCAGGTCCCAAAATGCAAAATCCCACCCTGCCAGTTGCCTCCTCTCCAAGGATTTATCCCAATTCCAGAGGGATAAGGACAACACAGGGCTCCAGCTCTCCCATTCCATCTTCCTCCCCCCGCCTTCCACTCTCCCCCCCACCCAGGGGGTTTCCCTGCTGAATTTTTTCATTTCCCTGGATTTTTCTATTTCCCACTGTGCTGAGAAGCAAAACCTGCAGGAAAAAAAGAAAAAAAAACATACACTGGAGTAGTATTTGGGAACAACTGGGATTTGCTTAAGGAAGAAAAGTCAAGGAGCGAGTAACGAAGTGCAAAAAAAAGCCTCAAAACCAAAGCCTATAGAAAGCCAGAGCAAACTTTTCCATCTCTTTTTTTCCTGGGATCTCACTGCAAATTTAAGTGGGGGAAGAAGCAGAGGGGTCATTTTCCTTCTTCTTTGCAGACCCTTTGGTTTTTGGCAGCGCTGCTGGGCTTTGCAGCAGGGTCAGCGACGCGGCGTCGGCTTTTCCTAGTGTCACCCTGGGAATTCGGGATGGAAAAGTCGGGAGCAGATAAAACCCCCATGCTCATTGCTAAAAATAGATACAGAAACTAAAAGAAAAATGCTAAAATGGCAGCTTTAAGGTAAAGCAAGAGAAACGAGCGGCGCTTGGAGGGTGGCGCAAGCCCCGGCGTGGCTTTGGGACACCCTGGGGACCGTGTCCCGCTGTCCCTCGCCCGACTTACCCCCGTGATGACGGCGCAGCGCTGCCAGGGCAGCAGCAGCAACAGGCAGACGCCCTGCAGGACCCTGCGCATGGTGCCGGGCCCAGCCGCGTCCCCGGCTCTGCCGAGGCCCATCCCGCCCGTCCTATATAACCCCCCGCGGCACTGCGGGATTTTTCCATGATTTTTCCCCCCCAATCAGCTCGGGGGAAACCGATGAGACCTGAATCTCTAATGGCTGAAGAGAAAAATTAATAAAACACCCCCAAAAACATATAAATAAGAGAGCATCGTCCCGCCCTCACCAATCACCCAGGGTTATTTAAGCGAGCGCAGCTGTGGGCTGCAAGCGCATCTATAGACACATCCATTTCTCCCCGACTGATGCACCTAAGAGGCAAAAAAAATCGTGGGTTTTTTTTTTGATTATTCAGCCAAAGTAAAATGCACAGGGGAAAAAAATGAGCCTGGAAACTCACGCTGGCAGAGCAAGGAGTGAGGCGGGATCAGTGATGGATACTCTGCCGAAATAGAGGCTGGGTGTTTATTTAGGAGACCGAGGAGGGAATAAAGTATTTTTCAGTGGCAGGAGAGTGTTTATATCCTCATATCATTTGTCGATAGGTCGATTTACGGTTTGAAATAAACTCCCCGCCAATGCTCATGCAGCCCCGGGGGCTTTTGGCCTAGGCGAGATGTCCGTGATGGCGAAGGCCTCTGTGTTTAATTAGTTGGAGGCTTAAAACCAGACACGCCACCCTGGCCATCAATAAGGGATTAATCTGCCCCGGGGACAAGCTGAGAGGCAGCGAGTGGCACCACGGAGCTGCAGCTTTGAGAGGCACCACAGAGCTGCAGCTTCGGCGGCGCTAAATCCTCCTCCTCCTCTGAGGCTGGGGTCGCTTCTGCAGGGGGGCGGTTTCTGCCTCTGCTTCTGATTGTTGCCCCCCAAAAATCAATACTTATTTGGGAAAAAAGCACCATTCTGCTGTCCTTCTCTCCATTTTGGTTGATTTGTTTACTTTTGGGGAGGAGGATTTTTTTAAAGAGAGCATTTTAGAAAAGGTGCTCTTTTGTACTTTCTCTTGTTGTACTTGTTCTTGAATTATTGGGGTTTTTTTTGTATTTTGGGAGGAGCTGTTGTTTTGGGGAGTTCTTAGGGTTTTCCGTGTTTTTTTATTATTATTATTTTTATTTTTTCAGAGGAGGTGTTTGCTAGGCATCTCCTTTCCTCGTGCAAGTGCACGCACGGGCCGGTTTCGCATGGCCGCCCCTCCCGGTGCAGCCCGTGCCCTGCCCGGGGCTCCGGTCCCCGAGCTGCCCGGGGCGCCGCTCCGCGCTTCGGGGTTGACCTGCTCTCCACCGGAGTCCGTCTTCGCGCCGCGAGGCTTTTCGGCCCTGCCGAGCTGCCGTCCGCCTTTGTCACGTGGTCGACGCCGCTGCCAGGAGCGGCGGGGGCCGGC